TTTACTTATCATTAGTTTTTCATCATATTGAGAAAAGATTATTTCATTTTCTTCATTTGAACTTTATTTCTATTCATTTATTCTTTTTCATTCTTTCTTAATTTAAATACTTCATTAGTTTAAGTTATTATCTGATTTGTATTTAGAATTTAGTGAGTATTAAAACTCTTCACTCTTTATATTGTTATTCTATGTTGAATATATCAATATCATTATGAATATCTTCATCTCTTTTATCATTTTTATTCTTTAATTATTCCTTTTTTCTTAATATCACTCATTGTATTCATCATAAATCTATCATTGTTAATTCTAATTATTGTTAAATAATAATACTACCATCATATTATTTAAATATTCTTATATTATTCACTCATATTAAGTATTATTAATTAATAACTAATTAATATTGACTGATGCTTTATCTCACTAAAAACATGTCATGTTCAGATAATAATGAGTAATTCATTTTTTGGATATATTAGGGTTCTATGTGGTGTTGTCTCTGACACGCTACTTCCAGTCTTGAAAAACTCATTTCCAAAATGATAAAAAAATTAAAGATTAAATTAAAATTTGATATTAAAGATACTTTATTGTTTGTTGTAGAATTTTTACATATTATTTACTTTCATTAATGATTATTTATTTTAATTTTTCTACTTCATTGTTTTCTCCCAATTAATATCGTATTATTGAATAAGATTTTTTATATTTATTGTTCTAATATCTTTAACAATTATTTTTCATCTTTTATTTCATTCACTTGTAATATTCTATTTATTTCTTTATTTACTAATCAAGAAATAATTGCAATAATTCGACTAATAATTACTCTTATTATTACTTCTTTTTTAATATGTTTTTGTAATATAGAATACAATTTGTATGTACCTGTTTTTCTTTTCTTATTATTTTCTTATTAACTATGTACCACTTATTCAATATGTTTTGATATAATTTCACAACCAAAAATATTAACACAAATTCCAAGTAACATAAAGAGTTATGAAGAAAAAACTCATAATAATTAAAGTGATGTAATGTCTTGAAACAATGGATATTTGGAATATATAACAAGTTATTATTAAATAAATAGTTTATTTCATTCTTTTTATGTTAGTATTTTAACTTTTTCAAGAAATAGTATTAAAGATTTATTTCAAATTGAATAATATTCTTCTTCTTCGACTTTGAGTAAAGTCTAATAAGTAATTAAATTTGAACGCTAGTTAGATAGTGTATTGTAAGTCTAAGTATGTTATATTATTCACAGAATAATAGTATTACCATAATACTCATACATCTATTAAATGAAAAATAAGATTCTTTTTATAAATAAATAGAGAAATATATGATAAAATTAATTAACCATTTATTAAATACGAAACAACCACCTTTTTTACCAAAAAGAATAAGTTAATCCATTTTGATTTCTTCTTTTTTTGGTTTTTCTAAATCTTGTTGTTGTGGATTGGATGGTTTAGATGACTTTGATTCTTTTGTCTCCTTTTTATCGTCCCAATAATCTGCTGGGAGTGGTGGAATGATAAATTGTAATATATACATTCCTGCTAAAATGATATAGAAATAGAAGTGGAAATTAGACCAACACTTCCAAACATATTCAAATGCCATTAACTAATCAAATAAGTTTTTGTACTTATTTAAATTTAAGTTAAAAGAAATAAAAAGAACAAACGTTAAATGCCATATGACAGAATTGCATTAATATCAAAGAGAAAAAGAATCCTAATATTTGATATACATAATACAATTTACTTTTTTTATTGATATAAGTGTTAATAATTTTAAGAAATCCTTTTGAACAGAATTCATAAGGAATTCCACAGCAGAAGAAGAATAATAAATACCCTGGATAAAATCCATGCCAAAATGCATTTACTATATATGTGAGTGCATGTCGAGCTAATTCACGCCATGAAGTTGGAACAATATCATTTACAACAG